ATGTGGCCGTCAGTACCTGGAGCATGGCCTCAGGCTCGCCGCCCTCCTCAGACACGTGCACTCGGGCCCGGCCACTCCGCTCATTGTCCCGGATGCCCTTGGACACCTCCGTAGCCTTCAGCCTCTCGAATCGGTTGCTCTTGGAGCCGCACCACTGGTAGATGTCCTGTAAGACAGGGACCCCGTGTAAGGCAGTGCCCTAGCCTTCATATAAGCCCTGCCCAGTAACAAGGTCAGGAGGAGGCTGTGTGATGTGTGAGCTCACCTTGCTCTCTGCATGCCCAGGTGAGGGCAGGAGGAGCATTCACATGCGCACATCCAAGGACAATGGGTGTGACCCATGTGCACCAGGGTATGCGAGTGCATGGCACGGGATATGTGTTTTTTTTCACAGGTGTAACTACGCAGACGATGTGTACAAAAATGTCTGCCTGCTGGTGGGAGCGGAAATTGGTACAACCACTTTGCAAAACCATCTGGACACAGCTACGAAAGCTCAGTCTATTGATATCCTGTGAGCCAGCAATCCCTCTTCTAGGAATATACCCAACAAAAGTGCACCCAGATGTCCCCCAAAAGAGCTGTTCTGCGTTAGAACCTCTCCTAACAAGAACGTTCTGAGCAGCACCATGTATAATAGTCCCAACCCGGAAAATAGAAAGGATAAAGCAATTGTGGCATATTCAGCCAATCAAATCTTATGGAGAAGGAACAATCTCCAGCTAAAGGCAACAATATGGGTGGACCTCAGACACGGAATGTCGAACAGAAGTCAAACATAAAAAAAGAATGGCTCCATGTACATCAAGCTCAGAAACAGGCGGAACTACCGTGTGCTGTTGAGAGTTCAGGATGGTGGTTACCCTTGGGGGTGAAGGGACTGGAAGGGGACAGGAGGTGCCTTCTGGGTGCTGGTGATGTTGTTTCTTGACCCGGCTGTTGGTTACAGGGGGGTGTTCACTTTGTGAAATCCATACCGGTGTGCACTCAGGATTCACACACTCCTCTGTGTGCCTGTAACCCTTTCACAAAAGCTTACACTAAATACGTGTGTGCCTACGTTTGC